TAATAGAGTCAATATGAAAGGTTTCCTTCAAGAATTGTATTTTCTATTCTGTTGTCATAATTTTCCTTTGCCTTCTCTGTTCTGTTCACCCCAATATGAGATCATAAAATTTGTAGCCATCTCCTCCCATTGCTGAAAATATCTATTTATATGAAGGTCATTCATTATTTTATTTTGCAGTAGAAACCTCTGGAAAAAGGGCAATATCCAAAAATCTTCAATGGCTTCTTGGAAGTTGAGATGGATAGAGAAAGAAAAAGGTGTACATCTAAGTATGAATTGGCAAATAATTTCATCCCATGAAGGCCCACTGTGCTGGGCTATTTCACATAAACGATATGAGGAAAGATGACCAAGATATGGTGAACTCTGCTTTGTGTGTGGGGGTGGGTGGGAATTAACCAGTGTTTGTTGCTGCAAAACAGAAAATCAGGGTGACAGAAGACCCACAGTTGCTGCACACTCAAGGAAAAGGCATTTTAAAGAGCTCTTCTAATACTCTGTAACTTGGGTTACTTCCCTTTCAAATGAACATATCCTTTATAAATAATCTTTGGCAAAGGTTCTGGTGTTTGGTTTAGGAGACAGCACAACAATGAAGAGGAAGAAGAAAAGAAAGGAGAAAGTCGTTTAGGCCAAGGGAGGTGATGAGGAAAACAACAAAAAGGGGCAAGAAGAAAAGTTGTATACAAAAAATGAAAGAAAAGAACTCTCTCATATATATATATATATATATATATATATATATATATATACGGTTGGTGCATAATTATCAGGCGTTTTTGTCAGCAAGTTATTTGTTAATAAAAATAGCTGTTTTGTTTACTTTTTTTAATAAAAATATTATTTTATTTTCAGGTTACAAAAATGCATGTCGATAATCATATGCTCCAGAATAATCATTTAAAAATGTTATACTATTTACATTATTTGAACTATTGTCCTCATCTTTGTCGCCATATTTATTACAACATTTCAATCGTTGTACGCTCCAACCTTCTTCAGGTGGTTGGAATGTTGAACTGAACCCTTTATTTCACTCACCGGGGTAGACTGTTCTAGTTCCACGTACCATGTTTAATGGATGTCAGTTATCAGTTATCTCCACTGCCTTAACCGGGTATTGAACTAACACTCTTTGGGTCCTGTCACTGGATCTAACTATCGCCTTTATCCTCTGTGCCATGTGTCCTTGAGGATATCTGTGTATGAATTTCTGGGAATTATAAACCTAATGTCTTCAGCAACCATTTTTACCAGTGCTCATAATGCAATTTTTGCTGTTATCATTGGATGTTTTTACCAGAGCTCATATTGCAATTTTTGTTGTTATTATCACTTTTCTCTGATACTACTTATTACTGGAACTGGTAATAAGGAGGGCCAGAGCTCTGGTAAAAACATGCAATGATAACAGCAAAAATTGCAATATGAGCACAGGTAAAAATACCCAGTTAAGGCAGTGGAAAACTTGGAGAAGGGAATTAACAGGAGATAACTGATAACACTTAAACATGGCATGTGGAATTAGAAAGTCTACCCCAGTGAGTGAAATAAAGGGTTCAGTTCGACATTCCAACTACCTGAAGAAGGCCGAAGCAGTACAACGGCCAAAACGTTGTAATAAAGATGAGGACAATAGTCTGAATAATGTAAATAGTGTACATAATACCTCATCCAGAATAATCATTTAAAAATGTTATTCTATTTACATTATTTGAACTATTGTCCTCATCTCTGTCGCAATATTTATTACAACATTTCAGCCGTTGTACACCTTATCTAATATATATATATATATATATATATATATATATGTAAGACTAGCAGCATGGCTCGGCGTTGCCTGTGCTTGATTCAAAAATCGTACGACTCATACACCAATTGCTATCACTTGACTTAAAATATTTTTGCCCTTCCTTGTCTTTAAAGGAGTGCCCTTTGCCGTGCTAATGTTGCTACATGCCTTACTTCTTGCCTATCTCACACTGTGAATTTTTTCTAAGCTGTTACAAAAAAAGAACTAAACAAAATGAACACAAAATGATCAGCTTTAAAAAAGGACTCATAACTGGATAAACCGAATGAAAAAAGAATGTTAACAACAAATACTTTTTCACAACCAAACCCAGTTCTGCGGAATCAGAATCAACGTTGAGTATAAGCAAGCGAATGAGCTAATTGGAGTAAAGTGCCATGCAGATTTAAATTTTTCCCACTTGTGATGAATGCCGCTATCAATTTTTTTTGCATGCTAGCATGCTAGTTAACATTCGTGTCAGTCAGCTGTTGGCTCTCACGCTGGCCAATAGAATCTTCCTGCCTATTCGTGGCAGCCAGCTATAGGCTCTCACTCTGGCCAGTACAAAATGGCTGCAAACTACATGAAAACTGCCATAGAAACATGAAAAATCGATTATTTTCACTATCGATGGGAGTTGGGAAATGTAACGTTGGTTTTAGCCTTCTCGCCAACTTGGAGCATGTGCATGTAAATGTTGGTGCAAATCTGTTTAAAATTGCGGCCGTGCATTCGGTACACACACACATCCTGCCTTTTATAGATAGAGATGAGAACTAATAGAGTACAATTCTAACATACATAACATTTAATTTAAAAGAGGGCTCAATACAAAGTAGATCAATATTTATTTTAGGATATTACATTGAAAACCTGTCAAAATCACTGCACAATTGCAGTCGTGTTTTGATGAATATCAAATGCATCTCATTAGGCAATTGTAAATTACTGGCAAGTGAACGATTTATCTAGATTTAAAAGCAAAATACAACCTTTTTTAAGAAAAAAAAGGGTGGTATAAGGTTTATGAGCTTTACTCAGACCAACCAATCGAATATGACCTATGTTAAATTTAAACTAAGTGAAGAAGTAAAAATTAAGAAATTATTTTCCCTAAATAGGTCATGACCCATAGATTGGCAGTCAATGGCAGCAAAGACATTAACAGGAGTGGATGTTAATGGATTCATATTTTCCACACTAGACAGTGTCATTTTCTTAGAAAAAAAAATGAGATGGAGTGGTAATTTAATAAAATGTTAAACAAGTTATATGCTTTGTGAGTTTCCTACATGGAAAATTTTTTTTTTATAGTTGATAAATAAATAGCTTCTTTAAGAAACTAGTAAATAAATGTATAGAATTACTTGGTAAAATAATATGCAACTGTTGACTAAAGATTCTTTATATAAGATGCTAATAACAATAACCAATCAGTGCAAACTGTCAAAAATACCAACCAAATTCCAACACATCCATACTAGATGTTACTAATACTACCAGGAGATTAATACAAAATTATACAAATAGAAAGATAAGTCATATATGGTGCAACACAGTTCAACTAAAATCTAAGAAAAAGCATTGTCAAATTCCAAGTCTGTGTTTACAATTTACCATTAACTTATTTTCCTTTTTTGTAAAAGAGGTTATATTTTGCTTTTAAATCTAAATAAATCATTCACTTGCCAGTAATTTACAATTGCCTGATGAGATGCATTTGATATGCATTGAAACATGATTGCAATTGTGTAATGATTTTGACATGTTTTTGATGTAGTATCCTAAAATAATATATATATATATATATATATATATATAAAAGGATAAAAATATAGTTTTAGGGTATGCTATATTTATGGATTAAAGTACTCAATATCAAGGATAGTTTATATATGTCCACTTATATATAATTCAAACATTATTTTTAGTGAATACCTGTGTTTGAAATAGATGTCCTGTTTTGGGGTTTTTAAACAGTGTGTATTATGTCTATTGGCTAGCATACTTAAGAAAACTTTAAGAAAATGTGCCTTCAAGCAGGTTCAAACCTTCAAGCAGGTTCAAACCTTCAAGCGTGTTCAAACCTTCAAGCGGGTTCAAACCTTCAAGCAGGTTCAAACCTTCAAGCAGGTTCAAACCTGCATTTCCCTTTGTAGGAGAAACAACCATTTAGTCTTGTGTGTTTTAAAGCGCTTGGCCATAGAGAGCATCATAGCTCCGCAAGATTATATATGCTCCTTTGAAGAATTCACACCACCTCATGCAACAGCACACAGTAACCCTCTACCTTGGGTGGTTCTTGGGATTTGTATTGTGTGAACATTAGGAAAAAAGAAATTTTTGAATTTAAAATAATTATATATAATTTTTTTATTTATTCAAACCATACACTACTTACATTTGCTTATGCATAGAAATGTTGGCCGATGATCTTACATTAAAAATTCTAAAAAAAATAATAATTTGAATGAGAACTACTGAAACATGGCTTGTTAAAAAATATCTTTTTGAAGTAACTTAATGTAGAAAAATTTAATTGCTCAGGTGTTTCTTATTAAAATGTTTTAAGTGTGAAATGGAAAGATCATTTTGTGAAGACAAGGAAAAAGTCGGCTGAAACAAGTAAAAGGTGCTGCTTTCAAGCCGCAAATTGACAATTATCATCAGACAGTGTGAGAAAAGGTTACAAAATATCAGAAGCAAAAAGAGCACATGACCAAAATAAATCACAAAAAAAGTAAGTGAAATTGAAAGAAAGATAAATTTCGTCTGTCACTCAATTTCAACAAAATAAAAAGTAGAACACATTTTTTTTTAAATACCAATAAGAACCAAAAAACGTCAAAGAACTATTTGAAAAAATAATTTTTTCTTTTTTCAAAGGCCAAAATGAAAACAAAGAATTATGCCAATTAAGCTCGAAGACATTTTTGTTGATAAAAGGTGTACAATGAAACTACATGTCAATAAACACACATTCGGTATGTGTGAGGTGGTTAAAGGGAACGCAGGTAAGAAAAAGCCAAAATACAGAGTGGTGGGAAAACAGAAACAAAAAAAAAGTTAATAGTAAAGAAAGTCAGAGTACACAAAAGATAGCAGTTTTTGGTGACAAGTGAATCTTTGAAATCGAAAAAGGAAAAACGTATGATTTTTATCTGAACCTTTCAAAAGTCATGTTTTTTTATGGGGTTGGATGGGTGGGGATGTTTGTTTGTTTCTTAAATGCCGAACTCTCTCTCTCTCTCTCTCTCTCTCTCTCTCTCTCCAACTGAACAGGTGTTCCACACATTGTTACATGATGCCAAAACAACACCGTTGGATCGATGAAAGAGTTCTGTAAAGGAAAAAAAAAAGAGAGATATAAAAAAAAAAAAGTTAAAAAAAAGAAAGGAAAAAAGAACATTTTTATTTTATTTTTTTTAATTCAATCTATTTTTGTTTTTGCAAAGAATGTAGAACTACTTGTCAGATGGACATCTTGATAAATAGAGGAATAGAGACTGCAAACCAGTGAATTTGATGTTATAATGCCACTGTGGACCAATTTTACAAGATTTTCATTCTTTTTTTGTAAACAAAAAATTAAGAAGAGTAAGATAGAAATAAGGAATGGAATACACACACACAAACAAAAGAGAAATAAGAAAAAATGAAAATAAAGCATTTATTTTGCTGCAGGAAAAGATTTACTGTGGTTATCTGAGGATCTGTTGAGAAGTGAGAGAAAGAAATGTAAGGGGGATTTGGGTGTTTTGTTAAAAACCAAGATGGAAGGTACGGAAAGATGGCTGGATAAATAGATGGATAAACGAAGGAAGGAAGAGAAGACCTCTGATGGGAGGGTGCAGGTGAAGCAAGTGGAGGGAAAGGACAAAGTGATAATTTTAGAGGGGAAATAAGGAACGGCCTGAAAATTTTTTTTTTAAAGTTCACTTTTACAAAGTTGTGACATTTAAAATTCTCATGTGCTTCTAAAGATTTTCATCTTTTCTCAATTCTTTTTTTTAATCTATTTTTTTCCTTTCTCATTTTTTTTGCCTTTTTTATTCTTCTAGAGAAGTTTAAATATTTATTGCCTTGTTTAATTGTAAAGTTTTCTCTTGTATTTTCTAATTTTTACTTTTGGATTTACAGATCTTCTGCAGTATTTATTTTTTTTAAATATTCAACTAGCTGTTTCAAGTGTTTCAAGTTTTTTTTTTTATATCTATACTATTTCAGCCAGTCCATTCTCTTACCATCTTCAAATTAAATTTAATGTACAGAGGTTTATTTTTGATTCCATTCTGCTTTTATTCAGAATTGTGATTAAGTTTTATTATATAATGCTGCTACTTGATTAATTCATCTTTGTTGAGTTCTTTTTCATGGGAGTGGCTCAATGACTGTTAAGTTACTTGAGTTGGCATTTTCATTTTATTTTGATTACAACAGAATAGACATATTCATTTGAAGCTATTTCAAGAAAGCAAAAGATAAAATACTTAAAGAAAATGATATAAATAACAAAAAAACATTACATATAAACAGTGTCTAATCTCAAAATTTGTGACAAAAACATATATTAATTTATTTTGCATAATATCATACATACAATTCCTCCTTTAAAATTTCTTATCATCTCTGATGAGAATGTGAATGTTTCTCACATGTTTTACTTCATATATGTTTGTATAGCGTTCAGAGTTAGACTGTTCTCCTTATTTTTGTTGCCATATTCACACATATGTCCCAGTGGATATATGTGTTGGTTGAATCAAATGACTTGACCCAAAGAGTTGGGAATTCAATACCTGGCTACAGCAGGGGGCAAAGAAAAACTTGGAGAGTTTAGTCAAAAGGAATATAACTGTTACTGAGATATCCAGAAGAGGCCTGGCACATGGAACTAGAACAATCTACCCAGGTGGTGAAATAAAGATTTTGGTTCAAAATTCCACTGGTATGAAGAAGGCTGGAGTGTACAATGGTTGAAACATTGTGAATATGACAACAAATATGATATGTATTTAAAATACAGGCTGTTGCTGAAAATTGAATAAATGAATTTAGGTAAACAATTACATCATTTGATTCAAGTGTTCCTTTGAGGTCTAATGAAAAAGTATTGGGACTGATGCTATAAAAAGAAAACTACAACACATATCAATTCAGCATTTTATCTCCTTGAAAGTAGTCCACTTCTGAAGCCACACACTTTCTTTCAGCATTAACTGATCACAAAATTAATAAACACTATCTAATAAATAAACATTATTTAATATTTATGTTGTCAATTCTCAAGAATGAAAAAGAATTATAAATTCACTTTCATCATATGTTTGGATTTTATTCCAATTCTAATCATCGCTTTTTAAAACAATAAACATTACTTAGGAGTGAAGGTAGTTAAAATAATAGTGGTGTCAAGGGAAAATCTGTCCATTACACACATCAATTTTTGTGTGGATGAAGGTCCAAGTTTACTGAATTAAGATTGTTTAGATCTGAAGTTCCTTGACCAGATCAGTTTATTACATTGTTTAAATAGATCCATCGCAATCTGTCACTAGTTATTTGATATTAAACATATACAGAATAGTCTTGTTGCATAATTTGGAAAGTGTGTGGTGTTTGGAATAGACAGTTTTAAGATATATATATATATATATATATATATATATATATATATATATATATATATACACGTACACACACATATATATACATACATACACAGTCAGATCAGAAAGTATTATGACTAGTGCTATAAAAAGAAAACTACAACACATATCAATTTGGCATTTAATTTCCTTCAAAGTAGTCATCTTCTAAAGCCACACACTTTCTTTCAGCATCAATTGATGACAAAATTAAAAAAACACTAATAAATAGTGTTTAATATTTTTGTTGTAAATTCTCAAGAACAAAAAATGTATAAATTCACTTTTATCATATCATTAGGTTTTATTACAATTCTAATTATCTCTTTTTTAAAAGCCAATGTCAAAGAGGAAAAGTAGTTAAAATAATAGTGATGTTGAAGAAAAATCATCCTTATGAAACTTTATAATTTTTGTTTTTACAGATACAATGGTCGAAGATTGTCAATTACGGAGATATATTTTGTTTTATATAAATTGTTTTATGAATATTTTGTTTGATATGTTTGTTTTTCAGTTGTAGGAAAAATAAAAATAAAAAAGGAACTTAAACTTAGAATCAGAAAGTGAAAGTTGAAATTTCTTTGGCACATTATGAGGAAAGAGAAACTGAACACTCATAAGACATATGGAAGGCAAGAGGTACAGTAAAGCAGCAAATGACTTACCTAACAAGTTTGTGTAAATGATTGGCAGTACAGAAATAGAGAGAGATAACAGGAAGACAAACATTACTGAGAGTTACAAAAGACAAGGTATTGGGGAGAGCCATGATCGATCATGTTCTGAAGGGAATGGCACATAGAAGATTTTCTGATAATGGTCAGAAGTAACACACAATGGTGTGCTGAAAGGTTCTCCACCCCACCAAGAAGCTGTTTTTTTGTTATGTTTTTCAATTAGTATCACTCCATGCAAGGCAATAAAGCCACTAAGACACAAAGAGTTACAGGGTGTGAAAGAATTAGGAACAGAAACATTAATAATGAACAGGAAGAGGAAAGAGTAATCAGGAGGACAGTAGATAGTGATTGACAATGCATTTAAATTTTTGCAGATTAAAGTTGGCTGGAAAGCATAGAGCCGAAAAGGAGTTCCACAAGTGAGAAGTGCAAGAAAAGAAACTGCTAGCATAGAACTTATGCTTATATCTAGCCAGCTCAACTTTAATTTGATGAGTTCTTGACCCTAGTCTCATACTGCGCTTAAATCCAAAAAGTCTAGGTCCTCCCTCTGTCTTTTTTACAGATACTTTCATGGTAACTGTTCCGGTGAGCTGCTTTCGCTGGTTCCCAGACTTCATGAATTTAAGTGCTCAACTAGGCTGGCATCTTGCTCTCACCCTTTCACTGTTGAAACTGTTAAATGTAGCTGTCGTCTCTTCTACTCCAATAGCTTCATGTCTTGCACTTCTCGCCTGTAGAACTCCCTCCCCATTTCTTGTTTTTCTGATAGCTATAATCTCCAACTATTCAAATGTAACGTCAATCAACATCCCCAGATGCCCTGATCTATCCCCTAACCCTCTCTTCATCCTTTCCTCTATCACTCCACTTTGTTCTTGCTCCAACTCTCTGTAACCCTTTGTATGCTAGTGGCTTCCTGCTTTGGTTGGCGTTGAATGCTTCCAAAAAAAAACTATAGTGTAGAGTTCATCTGAACAGTTATCATGAAAGTATAGAAAAGGCCCTAAGAGGCAACCTCACGGCAGTTGGAAAGAGACAAAAGCCGAGCTTCCCCCAAAGTTTGGCCTTTCTTCGTGATTTTAGGAAATGTATTAGCTTTTCAGCACCCCCTCATACATACATGTATATATATGATTTTTTTCTTTCTCATTTGTTATTCTTTATTCAATACAATAGCTTTTTACTTTTGCATGTCTTTCTTTCATGAAAAAAAATGGTTAGCAAATTTTCATCTTCATTTTTTTTTATATTTTTTATCTTTTTTTTCTCTTCATCTGATGAAATATGGCTGTTGCTCCCCTTGTTTGGTTATTATTTAAGCATGTTGTGTTTATCTACAAAGAACCGCTCTTTTTTTTGCTATTAATTTTTCTTACAAACATCGATTAAATTTTTGTCTTGTAAATTTTTTGCTGATTTTCTTCTGCATATTCTGTACTTTTCAATCAATCAACAATTTTTCTAATGCATTTTTTATTGATTATCAGTTAGGCTTCTGCATGCATATATGGATAAGTATCTTTACTTGATCTCTATTTACATTTATATATATATATATATACACACACACACACACACACACATATATATATATATACACACAGACATGTACACACACACACATATATATATATATATATATATACACACAGACATATATATATATATATACACACACACACACAGACATGCACACACACACACACACATATATATATATATATATATATATATACATGCACACACACACACACACACACACACACACACACACACACACACACACACACACACATATATATATATATACGCATGTTCTGATTGAAAAAAGTAATGGGACTTATCTGTTCTTCAATGTGAGAGGCATTGTCTGCAATGAATTCATGCTATTGGGTCTGACAATCAATCAACAAGTCTGCAAAGAGATCCTGCTTTGGTCAGTGCATGA